AAACTGAACCTTCTGAAAAGGCATTTCCTGCGTTTTTGAGAGCATTTCAAAGAAAAAAAAAACAGAGATAACTTTTATTCAATGACAAAGTAGTCAGTTTTTATACGATTCCAAGCCCGCTGGTGAATCAGTCAATCTAAAGAGAAATCTTGGACCTTTAGATAAAAAGTGGACCAAAAATTGGATCTTTGAGCCTTGTGGGGGGGGGGGGTTCTTCCAAACCCCCCTGGCTACGGGCATGACGATCGCAGTTCCGTTGTGAAATGTGGAGTCATGCTTTTAGACACACAGATGAGAAATGAGTTATGTGGTGCCATAGTGCAATGCAAAAGGATGGTAGTGATACAATGTTGGTGAGTTGAAGATGAAACATACTGCCATGAAACTATTCACAAATGTACAGATGGTATGACAGTCAATTCGACCCAGCACGACAGTCATAGCAACGCGTCATCACCCTCTTCGGAGTAAGACGTGACGTCATAAGTGACGTCATGTGTCGCCGCCATGTTGGTGTCCCATTTTTGCATGTCACTGAATCAAAGCTCAAACGTTTTCGCAAATCTAAATATCATCTAACCTGCCTCAACCACGTACTATTAGTATTACATGTACGTGCCTGCATCTCAAAAATCAAAAGGATAAACCACATAGAGTCACCTGGACATTTTGTTTCAGTGGACACTGTAAAAAAAATGGACACTGACCAAGACTATTTCCTGAGAGGGGTTAAAGAAGATATTTACATCAGGCCCATCACCCTTCACTTAACCGCGACGGGGGCCGACATCGTCTACCAGATACCTTTGACCCAGTGTTGACGTCACTCTTCAAAGAAGCCATGTGACAAGCCTCACTGGGTCAGCAGGCTACTGAGGAAGACCAGAGTGACTGGTCGAAAGCTCTAGGTGAGAAAACTTTTTGTGTTGGATCAAAAGTTTTAATTCTAAACAAGACATAAATCTCTGTGTACGATTGAGCTGTCATCCAGTGATATGCAAATTGGGACACCAAGATGGCCGCCACTTCTTGAAGAGAGTAACGCGCAGTGTGTACACGTGCAAGTAGTTAGGTGCTGGATCTCACCGGGTACTTCCCATCCACAAAAAATTTGTTGAGTTCTTCGTCCGTCTTTGAGGCGGGCAGAACAAGGAAAAAAGAGACAAGGCACCGTAGACAAATCTTATCATGTTAGTACATGTATGTCTCATGCTAGGGATTGTATATTATGCTGTACAAAAAGTGGCCAGTATTTAACAATGGTGATAAATAACAGGTAAATCTGGTAATGGTTGATTTTGGCATCCGATGCTTGATGCAAAGATTATCATACGTACCTGGCATTAAATTTTAGTGTTAGTACTAGGGTTAGAAATCTACGGCTGTTAGTCAAACCATTATTTTCACAACATGCAGTCGACTTCAACGATAGTTGCACAGGGTACAATGTATGGATACAATGATAATGTAATCAATACAATAATATAGTCTATTCTAACAGATTATGACTACAGGTGTACTAACAAAAATGATAATCTAAATGAGAAAATTTTTAATTACTTATAGGTGCAGTTTTGGCGCAAAAATGTTAAATAATATCGCTTTAACTATGAATGCTTAATGTTTTTAAGAGGTTCTTCTTTTCTGTCAACAATGTACAATACTTAAATACTGCTGCACGTGCAGACATTTTTCTTGGAATCAAATCGTTTTTGTAGTGTCTTGATCGATCCTGTCGGTGTTTATGTATGTGTTTCACTAGTTTATTGATTGATTGTTGTATTCAACTTCTGTATGAAAATTTGGGCTTTGCTTGCTCGTATCACGTATTGTCTGGTGGCGACATGAATAAAAGTGTAACTTGAGTGTGTCGCCACCACGTCTTGTCACTGTATTTTTTTTAATCGTTTATTTCAAATTTTACATACAAATATACATACAAATACATGGTGTGTTATGGCTTACCCCTACATCAACTGTTCTAAATGTTGTCGCACATTTTGTAATCTAAAAGTTTCGTTTCGTACAATATATTTAAAGATGTAATATTAAGCTAACAACATGGCTTTGTTTAAAAGAATATCTTGTCATTGTATGTTTCAATTTTTAAAAATTGCTTAATGTGTATGCGTTTTCTCTTACCGAGTTCCTCGGTCCTCGGGTGTCGAAGGGTCCCCCCAGCTGTTCCGGCAGGGTGGAGTCTACAGCGTGGACGTCGATGTCGTCATCCGCGTACAGCACGGCGTCCTTCACCAGAACAAAGATGGCGCGGAGGATGAAGGACACGAACAGGTGCATGTGCACGTAGTTACGGGTGCAGTGGAGCCGTCTGGAAATGTCAAAGCCAATGTCAGTAAAGAGAATGATTTTAGAAATACACTTGTAGAATCTGTATCTGTATAGCCGGTAAAACCACCCTTCGACGCAACATACCAGCTTCGCAGGCACGCGGCGCAGCGGCAGCTAGATATATTATACCAAACGACTTGTTACACCTAGCCTTTGTACGTCTAACTACTAACATTATTTAGCGATGATGTCCTAACTGTACATGGTGGCAGCGAGTTCCTGTCTGCGATAGTTCTAAAGTTCTAATAAGAAAACTGACGCGGACATGAATAGGTGCATGTGCATGAAGTTACGGGTGCAGTGGAGCCGTCTGGGGGGAAGACAATGTCAAAATCAATGTCTGTATAAAAATAAAAGGATTTTGCAAAATGTATTGACTCCTTAACCCTTTCCCTGCCTCATATGCATAAAGTAACCTTTCGGTACCAAATATGTGTATAAATATGGTTTTGTGGTTGGACAGCAGGATGGTATCCCAGGTTTAGGCCCCCTAGCGGCTTTTTTTAGGGGGGGGGGCTTACTGTATAGAAAGATGCTATAGCTTTTTCTTTGGTGTTGAAGTCATAGAAAACATTCTGTAGGTACTCATGTAAGTCCGATAATTTGCCTGACCGCAAAACAACTATTCAAAGAAAGTTTGCTTTGCACTGACCACGTCAGCTCAAAACGAACAGGGTTCCTTTTATAAAAACTCTACCCCCATGGTGTGTTAAAAGGTCGTTTCTGGCAAATGAACGCAGTTCGGGCGTAGAGGATAAACGGGCTAATCTCGAGGCAAAGTAGGTCGGCCTTTTCTTTGCCTCTATCGTCTTGTATAACCATCATTTGCCTGTATTGTGTGCAGTAAACGGCGAAACACTTTTCGCACGCATCCTTAGGGCTGTCACCAGCACTAAATCTCACTTTCTAAAGGCACAGCTATTTAAAGGCTCGCAAAATACAATACGAAACCTGAGATGGTAGCTTAAAGTCTCCTAGTGAGTAGTAACACGAAAGAGAGAGTATCTATCTGTTCGCAAAGGGACGGATAAAAATAAACGATAACAACGGTGAGTGGTGTATTTGGAGTAGTTCTGGCGTTAAGCTTTGCCACTTAGAAGATTATCAAGTGATTTTTTCCCACACCTTTCGGTGTATAAGGCTGTGCCTATCTTCCTATTTTATAGCCCTTGGGCCACACAGTTGTGCATATTTTACGCGTATAAAACACCGTCAGGGAACAGAAAAAAATCACATATCACACAACAGATTCATCAAGAGATAAAAAAAAACACTACCAAGATTGCCATGGTGTAACTTCGCGACATTATACGTTTACTAACCAGACAAGACAATACTATATTCAGTAAGATATTGACAAGAACTACGAATGGTCATGGGTTGAACATCTATGCGAACTATAAAAACCATCGCCATAAATTTTTGGATTGCCAATCTTGTTAAGGTTATGGGAAAAGCGAAAAATGTCGTACTCACTTGAAGTAGACAAGAATGGCCAGCGCTACAGTGAGTGACGCCAGGGAGAAGGAATACCCCACAGTGTACAGCTTCGTCACCTTCTCAAACAGTGAGTCAGGCTGAAAACAAATTACAAAACAACTGTTAGAGTCCATTATCAATTTAACGTAACCTAATAGATATACTAATAGCATTACAAGTTTTCCTACAATACGTAAGGCGTATTAAATAAAAACTAGACATTATATACATCGTACATGTGTTGATATAGGAAATAGAGGCATAAAATATTTTTCCAATACTGCTAAAACAGCATACAGATTTATATAGTGTTTGCCAGTGACGTCATACAAAATAGCCGCCATGTTGGTGTAGTAGGTGGATCCAAGATGGCGGCCGATTGTTCGAAATTATTCAAGGACACTGATGAGTCAGTGTATTTTTTTTCCAAATAAACATATAATTATACAAAATGCAGACATAGAAATCAATTCTTTGAGTCAATTCTGACATGTTACATCGGACATTTCTTTCAAAATCCAACATGGCGTCTGGTACCAACATGGCGGATACTTCAGAATCACGTGACTGCAAACGCCCTTTATGATTGGGTTGCAGTACACCAATGGTTAGTGAGTGCCGGGCCGCGTATATGGGTGATAGAAACAGCAGTGTCAAAGAGAGCTAGCGCTAGAAGTGCAACAACGCAGGGAGTACGAAAAATGTATGAATGTGTCATGAAAATCTGTGCATATAGATAGATGCAGTGTCCTCCCCAACACACACATGTACATGTGTAACGTTGACAATCACGAAGGTAGGTTTTCCAAGGGGCAAAAAGGTGTGCTACATCTATAAGCAGACTAGGTAATGTAGATAGCGCCGGGTTGCAATACACTGTGCATCACGTAATGTGTAAGGTATGAAATGATGTCAGCATAGACAGACACAAAACCTGGGCAAAAAGATAAAAACCTTGTTACAATAGTTTATTACGTTGTTTGATTAAACCTACTGGTATATGATACAATACCGGTACAAGTATTGAAGTTATGTATAAAGTATTCTGTTCTCTAGCTAGGGTTATATGACAATATAGCTGAGAAAAGATTAAATGCATAGAATACACCACAAAAAGGTATCTAGGGTCTCGCTGCAAAAAAATGTACGGATGATCTTAAAATACACGTTCCCCCTGTAAAAAAAGGCCACTACCACGGTCGGCTCCTACCTGGCCGAAGGCATCTACTCAGACTTGGCGACACGAAACGTTGTACTATATTCAAGATATTGACAAAAACTCGTAACGTTACATTATCTAGTTGTTCTTCGAATGGCTATGGGTAGAACATTAATTTGGTCACGACAACGTCAACCTATGTCTATGAGAACTATATTAATTTATCGTTAATTCTTTTTCTAACTACAAAATATATCATTCTCTTTCGTTTACAAGAAGTAGAAATGCTTCAAGTTAGCAGAAAATTTATATTGGGCCATCAAACAACAGAATCAGGCGTAAAATAAGGATCCATCAAAAATCTGGACACAAGGGCACAAAAAATCCAGTTCCAAAAGCTGTGAGGCTGAACCGACGTTTAACGGGCGCCATATTTGATTGAGCAGGGTTCGAGGGGAAGTAGGTCCAACACGAATGGATGAGAGAGATCACGTGATGAGGAACATGTAGTACCCAGAAGGCAATGCGTGGTTGGTCAGGTGATCACACGAACGGTTGGGGACACTGCCACACTTCCCAAAACTTACCCCGTACGTTTCCTACCATTCCGAGATAGGCAGAGTAGCAAGAGTGTTGTAGAAAAAGGAAAACGTAAATAAAGCCTTAAGCACCTACATTAACGAAGGCAGGGCTCGAAATACTGGGTGCATGTGCACCGTAGTGCACTCAAATTTGGAGCTGTGCACCCAATTATTTTCCGTAGGTGCACCAGTGCACCCAATCATTTTTGTAGGTTTACCTCTGTAAATATGTTAAATGTATAATAGTTACTGTAGTAAAACAGCATATTGTTGACATCTAAGTGTCAGAAAAAGAAGAAAATCCTTGTTGTAGTATTTTTCTTTATAAATGAAACATAACTAGTTTTGCTAAAATTCTATATGGTGCACCCAGTTTTTTAAGTTGGGTGCACCAGTGCACCTATTCCCAGAAATGAATTTCGAGCCCTGTTAAGGTCATTTCTACAAAGATGCTCAAAGGGCAAGGGATAGCAGGAGTAGGGGGTAAAGAATCGCTTGTTAACCAGTTGCAAACCAACATAAAATTGCAACACTGTACCCAATACACCGCATATACACGCAGGTAGAGTGGACATTTTGCATTTTGAACATTTATAACAGCAACAGATGTTAATACCATCTAAAGAAGTGAGTCAATGTATTCAGACATTCAGGCATACCATGTCGATTTACTATAGAATACTTAATACCTCTACCCACCAATACACAGATTTAAGTCCCGGTGAGGAAAAATATATATGCTGAGAAAGGAATCATATAATTAGACTAATCTAATATTTTCCTTCACACTTAAATCCGTATCTCAGTCCAAAGCAGCAGCTGTGGAAAATTATGATGAAATTTGTGTAGAGTTAAGCTTGTTAGTAAGCTTATCATGTGAAACGGAAAGCAGCGTACTCAAATATGAACAAAAGCTGTTAGTATGCGACTATATATATTAGATGACACTGTATGCAGTTACAGTAACAAATGCACGTAATAAACACATAAACATAACAACTGAAGGTATATTATCATAATATACGAAAGACAAGACATTTGAGCTATACGATACAACGAAACCATATCTCTTGGTTCGGAGATTATATCTAATAGTATAACGTTTAAACAAAAGAGTTACTAGTATTCCGGCTATTTCTCTCTTATAGTCCGCTCAGCTTGCTTCACAGAATATTGGAAAACATGTAGTAATTTCAGAAATGATTTCAGATTAAAAATGTCGACATTGCTCTACGCAATTGTAGTAAACAAAACATTAATGACTGTAATGTCCAATAGCTGAAAATAGACACATTGTAGATTGGCCTACTTTCTTTTGGTTTCATAAGACCCCCACCCCCAAGGCATTAAAGAGTAAAGCATTTGTTCTTACGTTTATAAGAGTTGTTAACTCCGGTAAGTACTTGCTGCATTCCGTGTAGTTGGCGTAGGTCTTGTTGGTGTGGGGGCTGACCAGCCAGTTTCCGTCCGGGCCGCACTCACGGAAGGCATAGCCTGAAGGGATCACAAAGGGAAGATATTAGATTTACTTTATTGCACAACTGCAACAAATATTAAACATAGAAAAAGAAAAAAGGTAAACAACAAGTGCCAGCATCTTATGAAGTATCTAAAATAGTGTTACATTAGAGTTGGGCTAATCATGTGTTATTAGACAACAATTGTACTTGATACAATGTATATGTATGGCAACAGCTATCAATCATAGAACAAAAACAAAGGACCAATATGCAATAACTGTTAAACATAGATCAAGAGCAAATGTATAGACAGTGAATAGCACTTTCTTGCACGACAGTTGTAGGTGATACAATATATATTTATCTATTAAAGATAGAATCAAGAAGAAAGGTATAGAATAAAAGTTAACATCATAAATTCTAAAGAAAAAAGGGGTAGAAAATTATGAGGTATTTGATATAGTGATACCGAATAGACTGGGGCTGATTATGTTTCGAAAGTTTTTCTAATAATAAAGCATGTATTAGACAGTGAATAGCACTTTATTGTACGTGTGACTCTATTGTATTCAAGGGCAGTACTGCCTTCGAATCAGCCACAGTTACATATATAGTATATATCTTACTTTCAGTTTGCGTTTAAGTGCTGTTTTAGGCTTTAGCTAGATCACCAAGAGGCACATTAGGAAGTTACGTTTGATCTATAGATCTTTGGAGGAAAGGTTCCGGGCACCAATGACTCTACTGTATTTAAAGACAGTACTGTCTTCGAATCTGTCACAGTTATAGCGTAGAAATATCATTTTCAGCGTTGCGTTTAAGTGCTGCTTTAGGCTTTAGCGAGATCACCACCAAGAGGCACATTAGGAAGTTACGTTTGATCTATAGATCTTTGGAGGAAAGTTTCCAGGCACCCATGACTTTATTGTAATCAAGGACAGTACTGTTTTTGAATCTGCCTCAGTTACGACGTATACATTTTACTTTCAGCTTTGCGTTTAAGTGCTGATAGCGTGCTTTAGGCTTTAGCGAGATCACCACCACGAGGCACATTAGAAAGTTACGTTTGATCTATAGATCTTGAGGAAAGTTTTCAGCCACCCATGACTCTATTGTATTCAAGGACAGTTACTGCTTTTGAATCTGTCACAGTTACACCGTAGACATCTAACATTCAGCTTTGCGTTTAAGTGCTGCTTTAGGCTTTAGAGAGATCACCACCAAGAGGCACATTAGGACGTTACGATTGATCTATAGATCTTTGGAGGAAAGTTTCCAGGCACCCATAACTCTATTGTATTCGAGGACAGTACAGCTTTTGAATCTGTCATAGTTACATCGTAGACATGCATTTAAATGCTGCTTTAGGCTTTAGCAAGATCACCAAGAGGCACATTAGGAAGTTACGTTTGATCTATAGATCTTTGGAGGAAAGTTTCCGAGCACCAAAAGGTCACGGTCAAGAGAAAACATCCCCGTGAAGCACACAGACCGGCTTAACGATTAACGGATGGGTGGGAGGAAATGCCTTTGCTATTTTCGGCCTCATAAATTGCCCTGCGAAGACCGCTTCATTAGCCACGCTGGCACCATCAAGCTATGCCTGATCAACACAGAGACGTCGTCTGAATTCTTTCCCGGGCTGCTGATTTTCTCATTAACGGTCATTATAGTCTGCTTGGTGTAATTCATCATGGGTTGATTAAGCGGGGAGGTGTTGAAAACACACTGATGAATGAAGGACCTTTTGTTGTGTATTCATACTCTTGTGAGCTAAGTACAGGTTATGGTGATATTGTTATATGCAATATACAGTGATATACGTCTGGTATCTTACTACATCTTATGGTACACTGATATGCACAGGTTCAGCTTCTTCTCGCTTCTCCCTAGACCAAAGATAAGAATTTTTGGAATTTCGATGATATTGGCGGTTTAAGCCAGCAAGGGAACAGTCCACAACGAAATAACGCTGGTCTTCCATCATGCTAGCTTACAATAATGACAAATTCTTTGTTGCAAAGGAATGCGGTTGTGTTTATGTTTTCTGAAGTTTGTCTGAGATAATCCGGAGTTGTCGTAATGCAGGGATTTAAGTAAAGGTCTCGTAACTTTCGTAAAGGTCTATATTGGGCCCACAATCTGAAATGTAGTGGGCACGCTATTTTGGTGGTTACTCGGATGTGCCAAGTTTGCAAGGAAGTTCAAAAAAGTTCAATTCATTATCGTAATACTTTACTTTTGGATGGGGAAATCGTCTTGGCATTTGAAAACCAACCGTACGTTTTATGTCTTCTTGTGCCGGGACCTCGCTCAGGTCACGTTTTAAGGCTGTTTACCGCGAGGCCATTTGTCACACTTTTGCTCGGAGTCAAATCGTTTGACCCGCCTGCAAACGATGACGGATGTACTCGTGGCTATTATACAACGTCCATTTGGGTTGCAGCGTACCGCATGGTGCATACAAATCTGCATCCTTGATTGTAGAGTTCTAACTACCACCGTCACGGTTCAGAGAAGGTTGACGAGATCGACCGAAAATTTACGTCTTTTTGACTTTGTGTTGGAACAACTATAGATTCTACCAACAAATATGAGCTTTCAATCGAAATCTGGATCCTATTTTTATTCAAGTGCTGTATATATGATAAATATTAGTTTTAGCCTTTGTTTATTCATGAGATGGTCAAATCAGCAGCCTGGCCACTTTTCATTGATGTAAGTAATGAAAAATGTCATTTCAGAACCAATCCAATTTCGATAAAATGTATCTACAGATACTTCAAACAAACGTCCTTTAAAGCGATCGCTTTGAAGCTACACCATACTCGTGGGAGCACACAAGAGAGACATCTTTAGAAATGAGTTCCTCTTTTGATTAACATTCTCAAAATGAATCCATTACAGTTAAGTGGAATTGGACGTTATTACGAATTCTTCTGATCCCTAGCGGAACTTTATATGCACAGCTTGTACTAGTTGGATTTATCTGTTCTAATTGCTTTAGAATCTGCCATCCTCTAGGAATCACTGAAGAAAAAAATCTATGCAGCTTCTCATTTACTTGACTGCCTTCTTGGGATTAGCACTGTGCATGCAATCAATATCTAAGCGTAACTCTGTATAACTTGATGTAATTATACGAACAATACAGACAACTAAATCCAATGTCTCGGTAAAAGATGAGTCATTATGTTTTATCAAGATGCGTGCAGCGAGCTTATTGTGTGAATTAAAATTCTTTGTATCATACACCAAAGCCCCAAAGGAGTTTCTGGGAGCCCCAAGGGGTATCCATGGTATGGAACGCATCCAAAAGAGTTATGAAATTTCTACATGTATTCATGCATGGCAGAATTTAATATTACTCTAATTATGAAATGTTCAAAGTCTGTCAAACTTATTTAAGTCTGAACTTGTCTGATGCAGGCGATTCTAAATTTACGTACTTGTAGATATGCACTCTATAGGCAGAGGTTTGGTTTTGGGTTATTTTTGGCGTGTTTTAGGCCTTTTTATCGGGGTATCTTTTTTGCACTGGAATTGGAAAGAGTTGGTGGAAAAATTCCAGTGCAAAAAGTAAACCCCGATAAAACAGCCTAAAAGCACGCCAAAAATAACCCAAAACCAAACCCCAGCTTGGAGAGTAGTGGCCATATATGCAGAAAAATTGATACCGAGCCCTGAAGTGCCACGGCTAACCGTAACTCATAGTGACCGCTCACGGAGCTTTAGTTAGTGCCCATCCGTGAATTTACTATCGCCAATAGAACCTGTCTTATACGGCATAGACGGATGGAGAAAATTCATCCAACAGAATCCATCGCCGTGTATCACCGGCAACTTTTGCATCGCAGAACGAATTTGTGAACGTGTTATCCTTGGATCTGACAGACTCTCCGAATCTTGAATCAGCATATTGCTGACACGGGTGCCGATGAGTAGATTCTTTTGATGGCGTTATTGGTTGGTTGGTCGGTTGATGAAGGTTAGATATCTACTTTTAAACATTTTCAAAACCAATCATCTCCAAGGACAAATCAAACTCTAGCACTGGAGAAATTACGGAGACTACTAGTATTTCCGAACGTATTCGGGTCCGTGGGTCGGGAATTGGATCTTCTATGGCCCGGGATCTTCTCACTCATAGTGACCGCTCAAGGAGCTTTAGTTAGTACCCAACCGTAGATTTACGATCGCCAATAGAACCTGTCTTACACGGCATTGATGGATGGAGAACATTCATCCAGCACAAGCCATCGCTGTGTATCATCGGCAACTTATCTACATTTGCATCGCAAAAAGGATTCATAAGCGTGTTATCCTTGAATCTGACAGGCTGGCGCGGATTTTTCGGATAAAGTTTATCTCTTTGGTTCGACGTCTGCATTTCTGTACGTCGTAAACTGCGCCGTAGGTCTTTGTCATGTACGTGACCATAAACGCTTGTAGCAATTCTGTACGACAAATGCACGACAGTGACAGACATGCCTTCTGTTTACGATCGTACTACTAGAAAGGCCGACATTTGCTCGGGTGCAAATGCAGCAGATGGCTTCATCACATCCCCCGCACCAAAAATGGATCTATCTTCCTCCCGCACAAATGGATTGTTCTTAATTCACCCCTGTCCAGAATGTGAAGTGTTCCAATAGTCTATACCCCTATGGAATATTAGCACAGCAGAACTTTTTATAAGCGTGTTATCCTTGAATCTGACAGGCTGGCGCGGATTTTTCGGATGAAGTTTATCTCTTTGGTTCGACGTATGCATTTCTATTCGATGTTAACTGCGCCGTAGGTCTTTATTATGCACGTGACTATAAACGATTGACAACAGGCATTCGGAGATTTCAGAGTTCCAGGAATTATTTTTGGTTTTTGTGTGACTTTCGAGTTCAAAGACTTTCGTGACGTGTTTGGGGTTTTTGTGAATGCATTGGAACTGTGGAGGGGATAGTATGATGTAATTTATTCGGGTATTAAACCACTGACTTCCTCCATATCATCATCATCTCATCTGGTCGTGAGAGTCTTACGTATACATCGTAATCTGCATCGGTGGTATTCCTCAATATACCGACCACTTACTTCCACTTATACTAGCGTATTGTGCTGAAGGATTGTCAAAATGAGTTGTTGATTCTTCTGACGAGGTGGTTGGTTGGTTGGTTGGTTGGTTGGTTGGTTGGATGGTTGGATGGTTAATTGGTTGATTGATTCTGTATTCTGTATCTGTATCGGTATAGCCGGTATAACCGCCCTTCGGCGTAACACACCAGCTTCGCAGGCACGCGGTGCGGCGGCAGCTAGCTATATCACACCGAACGGCTTGTTACACTCAATCTTTGCACATTTGATTGCAGGAGTTGTTTAAAGCTTTCTAGTGATGATACCCCAACTGTGCTTGGTGGCAACGAGTTCCAGTCTACGATAGTTCTGGGGAAATACGAGTTTTTGCATACCTCAATTCTTGGTTGATACATGTAACTCTGATATTTGAAGGCATGACTGTTTCTTGTTCTTTTCTGGGCTGGTATCAGATACTTAGCGGTTGGTGCGTCCACCAGTTTATTAGTCATTTTGATTGATTGATTGATTGGTTGGTTGGTTGGTTGATTGGCTGAGACTTACCTCTGTGGTTGAAGTCGTGCACGTATTTCGGACACTTCACCCTGACGGACCGGTTAGGAGTGCTGTAGGGCCAACAGATCAGCGAGTCCCACGACTGGTTACAGTAGGGTCCTGCAGAAATTCAACATAATTACGTTATTTCATGGTCCAATGACACGTGGCAATCCTATAGAGTGCAGTTTTGGATGAACTCGTAACCAACAAAAGTCACCTGTTTCGTAAACGAAATGAGTTGCAGCGTAAAGGTGGTAAGAAGTGCTAAACCTTAATTAATCCGATTCTAGTTTCTAGTAAAGCCGTCCTCAGGATAAATGACCCACTACGTCATGTGTATATGTCACGTGTCTATTCATCTTGAGGAGGGCTGAAGAATGTGCTTAAAACTCAATAAAAGTATATGATTACCTCATTATGTTGATGAATATGGGATCTTACAATAAGTTAGGGACCTTGGTTTATCTTCAACGTCTGATCATGCACGTCACTTACAGTTAGTTTTGGGGTATGCAATAAATGCTTTTATCATATAGCCGGGTGACGTTGACCAATCAGAAGGCTCCATTCCACATTCTTTATGTCGCCGTAATGTCACAAATAGAGTCAAAATCGGGTATTTATTCATCCAAATCCATACATTAAACAAAATGAATAATCACCCGCATATGACCTCAGGTGACCCAATAGAACACGGCTCTACTTCTAAAAAATCCAAAAATAACTTAAGTTGTGTTCCAATGACTCCCATAAGAACACCTGTTCCCTGCCTGTGACCCAGATAGAAGGCCATAGAACATGAACCTCCCAGTGACCTCAGGTGACTCCAGATGGAACAAATATTCTATGTTCTATTCAGCATGTGCAAGTACATTGTGTCACTCTTCACTGCATTAGTTTGGATAGGCTATCGTGTAAGCTATATGATAATAGCGTTAATTATAATGGCCCGCCCTTTCTCGGTGAATATGGTGTGATAAAGCCTTGTCAGTTGCTATAACCACCTCATAAAGCCACCTCGTTCGCTGCGCTCACTTGGTGGCTTTATTCGGTGGTTATAGCAACTGACAAGGCTTTATCACACCATATTCACCTCGGGGCGGGACATTAACCCTTAATTAACATGGTTATGCCATAGTATGACGAATAGGTTAGTCGTAGTAATTGTTAATTCATATATCTTAAACTTGTCCCACAAAGTACAACTTTGAAGACACGGACGTAGACAAATGAACAGAGTGTAGAAGTCGCACGCATGAGCACATGTATATGGATTACCTGTCGCGCATATCAGCCAGACAACATGCAACTGCACGGATCCTTTCCCAATGGTAATCTTCCCACCTTAGTCTAGCTATCCAAGCGTGTATTTGTAGTTCATTCATCCTACTTAGCTGTGAAACATATTGATAGGGGTATCATTAAGGGGTATGTAAGATTTGCGAGTTCCCCATACAATTGACGTAAAACATCATGTTACGCTCATTGTAAGTGATTTGTAAGAATTTCACTTTAAAAGATGTGGTTTTCGCATTTCGCCTGATTGAGGACATCTGTTCCAAGTCCTCTACACGCTTTAGGAACTTCTGTGGATAATCATAGTCCTCTATTGTATGATTCGCATAACATGATATATATGTTCTCTATCGCCATGTTGTGTGAACCGGTGTCGCAGCGATTTCGGGCCCCTTGTGAGATTTGTTCGGAGAATGACTTTGGTAGAGGGCCAAACTACTGTTACACCTGCCATAGCTAGAAAGTTAGTCTTTAACTCAGTGTATTGTACAGGTGGATGACATGCTAGCAAAACTTGAAAACTTGTCAATTAACAGTTTTAAAACAGCGTTATTACTCACAGTAAGTCAACATAGTGTGCTATAAATATCGGAATTGAACCATGTAAGCATTAACTCGTACTTTCAACATCAAAACACTACAAACTTTCAAACAAGGCACTTTTCTCCGGGTCAACTCCGTGTTACAAACTGTGTGCTTTAACGCACACTCTGAGTGTTTTTGTGGGACAAACACTTGAGCAGTGTAATCTTGGCTCAGAATCAACGGATCAGCAGAAATCAAAACAGGTTCAAGGGTACGTGTACACAAACGCAGCTTTGAGGACTGTACACTTGAAACGTCTGTTGTTTTGTAAGGTCCTGGTCGCATGTGTTGCTCGGTGGTGGTACGATCTCAAACAGAAGGCACTTCTCATGAAAGTTCATCTGTGTTGGTAATAATCATATTAAAATGTTGAACTTCTTCTTCTCCAAACAAATAAGGTCAATGACCTGAACCAGGTATCCGTCACCATGGTAACTGGTGGGTTACATCATGATGCAATTTTATAGCAGGAGGGATTTAAACTCCTGTCACCTATATAATGAATGTGTTTGAGTAAGAATTAATAGAGCAGACCATATGCGAAGGTAAAGATTATGCATTTGCTGCCTTTCTAGTTTTCTTTAGATCTTTGTTGGCATGCACAACCTTCTGGAATACTGTACTCTGTTGCATCAAAATGGTACGACGACCTACTGCGAACGGCGCCAGAAGTTATAAATCCTCATGTGGCTCCTAATGCACGGATTCTGATTCAATGGAATTCGCTGATAGCCAAATGTTGGATACGAAATGCACTTTATACAGGACCTCTGACGTCTGGGGGTTAGTTCCAGATATTTAGCTGGCGCCTTTGAGCATTAGGCACCGAGGTCATACAAGACGACGGGCAGATATTTCAATGTTTAAAGCCTGCACAGTGTCCTTTCTACCTCGTCTGTAGACATTTTCAATCTACTTATATCATGCCCCGACTCCATGTCTATGTATCCAGGCCAATACGTATGCAGCCAAATGTTGAGCGCTTTAGAGAAAAGAGAGAGAATTGTGACAGACAGATATGTTTAATGTACATCATTACAATACGCCATTTACGTTCATATTTATGTTGTTGTAGTTTATAGGAATAGATTAGTATTATTGTAATGATCTCATAGTCATTGTTGTCATACTTTGTACGCTGTGCAACTGTCGAACAATAAAGATCCCCATCTGTTTATCGTGTGCTTGCTTAAAAGCTGTTGTCGTGGATCTGTCGTGCGACAGGTTTACAACAGAAAAGGACATTCGTGAGACAATCGTGAATTTGTCGTACAAATTACTGCTGTGTTATGATCAAAACGTTGACGTATATATTTATTGATGGTTCTCTCATGTAGCTTCGCTGAAAATCGTACGACAAAACAAGTACGACAAATTGAAAGATTGTACGAAAAACAATCGTCCAAAAATGCAACAACCGTGCGACGTCTGTGAATGAGACTTTACGTAACTCACGACCGACTGTCGCAAATTGCACCCCGTCGGCCAATTTCCAGAAAATCTATACAAATATACATTAGCAGTAGCTGCACGGCCCATTTTTACGCAATTTGCAACGGACATGGAACGTAATGTTGAACCAAGCATCACAAATGATTGTCGTGCCAACATATGTTACATCTATACTCAACAAGATTAGTTTCATTTGAACATGCTGTCTGAAACTGTAATGTGATTTAACCTGCAAAGTCTGTTAGTAAATTGCATTTGGAATGTCCTTGTTAGCCACGTTTCAAGGTATTCTTTGGCTTTGAAATGTTACAAATCATTTGGGGTTCGGATGTCCTTGTTCAGTACTTTTCAAGGTGTCCTTTTAAATATTACAAATCGTTCAGAACTTTTACGGTTTTTTTTTCGTCTTCTGTAGGTCGCCTGTACTTCTGTGCTTCACTTTTCAGCGCTACGTAGAATTCTAAGTCATTTGTTATCTAAGAGGTATGTTTTCCCTAGCTTTATGTGTATGTATGAATGTATGTATTCTGTATCTGCATGTATAGCCGGTATAACCGCCCTTCGGCGTAACACACCAGCTAATTAATGCTAAATTAGGTAAGATGAGATAAAATTACCACAGATTTCTAGGAACTGCTTGGCCTAGTTAGAAGCAAAATGGACGCATCTACACAAACAATTTCCATCTATTTAAAAGGCAATACAAAAAGATATCAACGTAATGTAAAAATACATTCAACATCAAAATCATTCATACTCATTATAATTGTAATTGGCATGATTCAGGTATAAATGACTTTGCTGTTGTAGATCACAGATAGGTAGCTCAGATTAATGTATTAGTTAATTAGTGCCTAACGTACGAACGATGCATATACATTGTATATCTCTTATTTGGCTTGAGGGTAGATGGTCGACAAAAGAAAGGACGAATTCAATTATGGCACTCCTAGTAGCTTCATGTTCGAAATTGCTTTTCAGTGGCACTTCTAGTGGCTTTTAGTGTACAGTAGAACTACTAGTAGTTTTGGTATCTTATGTTCGAAATGGCTTTTTAGTGGCATTTATATTACGCACTTGTTTTTTTTTTATATTCATTATCCTTAAACATATGCTGTCACAAAAAATCTTCCCTTAAGAACAAGAATTAATTTTCCTCCACCAGTTTATTTTTTTCAGCAAAAAATATATTTTAGATTTTTGCCAGAATGTTTGTGCTCTAGCCTGGAGAAAGCCAGACTGTTGTGCGTTTAGGGACACTTGAAAGAAACAGCCGCTCTCAGTTCTAAACCCATACTGCTGCAAGGTGTCTGTTAAAATAGAGCAGACCCACCCGTAACGTATCAGTAACCTACTGATAATTCATACTTGGTCTCAAATCAATTCTATGGACTGAACAGTCTGGAAGTTTCGAAACTTTTAGTCTTCCACTCAAGAGAGAGAAAAAAGACATTTGTCCGTTCTGTGTGAACCAATGCTAGCCTCTACCAGGCTTCGGGAGGCGGCTGGAAAGAGTAGAAATCGGCCAAATAGAGAGATAACATGCCAGGGGAGTTGGTACGCTAGAGAGTACAGTTTGCCTTTCGGGTTACTCTCTAGCAGACCAACTCCACTGGCATGTTATCTCTATATTTGGCCAATTTCTACTCTTTCCAGCCGTCTGCCGAAGCCTGGTAGAGGCTATCGTAATACCTGTGAATCTAATTTGAATTGCTAATATACCACATGTTATATAACCACCAATCAGCGTAACACCCCAGCTTCAAGGGGTTACGAAATCACTCCAAACAAGCTTTTACACCTTACCAATTTTTGTCTAACTCTAACTAGCTTTTAAGTTCAACCGTATTTGACTACAACCGGTTCCATTCAGCATTTCTTATATAGCTTGCGGGAAAACGAGTTTCGTAAGACTTATAGCTATCTATAGTCACGAGTCTTTAAAGACTGTTTCGTTGAGCTGGCTTAAGGTGCTTACAGCCCGGCGCGTCTACGTGAATGTACCGTGCTTTAATACCCGGAACTGTAGTGCTTATCTCTGTTATAAACAAAGGGGTCTGGAAGTATGCAGAAGTGGCTAAGGCTTGATCTATGTTCACCACGAGTGCCTACTTATCTTACTGGAAATAGCAACACTTGAGCCTGCAGTGATACACGGCGAGCGGATCTAGGTGCTTTGTTAAAGTACTCTCCAAGCAGAGGTTTGGGTTTTGGGTTATCTTTGCCGTGTTTTTCTGAGTTGAATCCTGCATGCTTGGCAGTCGCTATCGGTTGACAATTTCATACTTCAGACGATAGAAAGGTAGATTGTATTCTAGCTGTCAGCGATAATGCTGACTTTAGGCGTGTCTATCCTGTATAGTTGTACATTCTTGTAAATCACACTGACACTTTGAGAGCGGGGTTCTCTTTGTATACGTACTTTCAAATTCCCTAGACGGATCAAAGAGTAAACTCATTATATCAAAGCAAAGCAGTATACCACAATCAAATTTAAAAACATGCACTTATGACAGTAGGTACATCTTTTATAGTACTAAATCACCACCTAATCTATACGACTCAGTATAAACCGTTGGTGTTTTTTGTTTTAACCTGATGAATGTTAGTTTAGTTTGAGCAGAGAACTGTGTAACAACCTGTTGATAAATTTGTATGGCGTAACGGTGACAGTTTCAGGTCAGTTAATGCTTACACTACACCCATTCAGGACGGATAAATGACCGCTATAATGCTTGTTCGTGAGATCTGTACACTCATTACGACAATTAACCTAAATTACTGACCATCTTTCCTGACATTTAATGTTTGTCTTACCCAGGTTTACTGCTCGTTAAGAATTCATCAGACCAGTTCAAACGATCTTCAGATTTTGAGAAAATTGAGATTACTGATACGTGACCAAAATTGAAATTCCTTCCCACAGAATAAGAAGTATAGTGAGGTGCCTGTATCGTTGTCTATAGCATCTCTGCCACACAGTTGTGCAAGCACTACAGCAGGGGGCTATTCCTAGTCTACAAACTGCGCAATGCTTCCTAATGTTAAATGCGTAATGCTACCTACTGGAAACGTTACCTTTCAGATTCAGAGACCTATTCCTGAATTTTGAGGAAATTTCAATCTGTCAATTTTCTTCATTTGACCCCATGTCATTCTGTTAATCTTGCTCCTTCGTATCAATGTGCTGTCAACCTACCGTGCCTGGACACGCACACACGCAAACGAACCAACCCATCCAAAACAATACTTCCCATGTAACCTGCTTACCTCCTGTGGTTGGTCTGTTGGTTTCTATGGTGCTTCTACATTTCTCCCCTTCCTCCCAAAGAACCTACCGTATCTGCACACGCACACACACAAACGAACCAACCCACCGAAAACAATACTTCCGGGAGGTAAAAACTGTACCCTGCTTACCTCCTGTGGTTGGTCTGTTGTTTTCTATGGTGCTCCTACATTTCTCCCTTTCCTCCCAAAGACCCTACCGTGTCTGGACACACACACACACAAACGAACCAACCCACCCAAAACAATACTTCCGTACCGGAAGTAAAACATGTAACCTGCATACCTCCTGTGGTTGGTCTGTTGTTTTCTATGGTGCTTCTACATTTCTCCCCTTCCTCCCAAAGAACCTACCGTGTCTGCACACACATACACACAAACCAACCAACCCACCCAAAACAATACTTCCGTACCGGAAGTAAAACATGAAACTCGCTTACCTCCTGTGGTTGGTCTGTTGGTGTCTATGGTGCTTCTACATTTCTCCCTTTCCTCCCAAAGAATTTGCATCTGCTCTTCTCTGGTGATCGGGGCGTCTTTTCCACCATGTACCTACAGAGATAGAAAACATTATCAACACATTTATATCATATGTGATTCAGCCATGTACATAGCTGAATAGCAAAAACTGAATAGCAAATAGTAGCAAAAAGTATGGGACAATAAAATGAAGAGTTCATCGAAATATTTCAATTTTTCCAGTACATTACATGTCAAATGTATTAAATGGTCATATTTGAGTATAATTTTACGAAAACATTCACGATTAAGCAAAAAAGCTCCCAAGTTGTTTTATAGGCCACCGATATGGGGATGACATTATTAAAGCTAACTTTCTAATAGAAACGAAGGTCGAACATGAAGAATACCCTTTTAAATTAATTTTAATGTTGATTTTTGTGTTTATTGTTGATTTTGTGATTTAACTGTCATTGTAATGTATTTACTGTACTTTTTCTGTGCCATGTAATTTTGTCATTTTAGATGTATGTGTTTGAGCCTTGGAAGACTAGCCCAGCAGGGCTTAAAGGTTTCGTAGTAAATGAAATGAAAAGTTAACTTTATTTAGACTTCCTTTCCTTGACGTGAACCAAGAGCGTTCCTGTCCCCAAAGACGGAGCCTGTCGCTTTCCAAGAAGGGCCGGCGCTAACTGGCCAGGATTACAGGTAATGTGAGCTGAGTAGGTGCATGTGCTCACTTCAAACAATGAAACTTCAGCTGGGTAGTTACATGTACGCCAAAAAAACAGTCACTCAAGCAACTGGATATGATTTTTGAAACGGTCAGACGTTTCAGGTAGCATCCACTACCTTTTGTCAGTAACACTAGAGAACAACACGAAAATGACCGCATTGTAACAGAATACTGTTAGTGATTCACGAAGAAGAAGGCAGAAAGACACAGCAATAGTGTCATTGACTGTAGTACTATTACAAGGTCTAGGCCACAGAGATACTAACTTTTTACCCAAGCTTTGAATACGAAGAAAAACGACGTCTTATGATCAGAACACTACAGTAGTTGTTTACGAGATAGAGGGCAGAAAGTCACAGCAACAGCATCCTTGACAATATATTATTACAAGGTCTAGGCCGTAGAGATCTTAACTTTTCCACCCAAGCCTTAAATACCAAGAAAAACAGCGTCTCATGATCAGAACACTGCAGTAGTGATTTACGAAGAAGAAGGCAGAAAGACATAGCATCTGTGTCCTTGACTGTAGTACTATTACATGGTCTAGGCCACAGAGATACTAACTTTTCCACCCAAGCCTTAAATACGAAGAAACACGACGAAGTATGATCGTGATGGTCTACGAGATAGAAGGGAGAAAGACACAGCAATATACTATTACAAGGTCTAGGCCGAAGAGATCTTAACTTTTCCACCCAAGCTTTCAAAACGACGTGGTTTACGACATAGAGGTCAGAAAGGCACAGCAACAGTGTCATCGACTGTATATCATTACAAAGTCTAGGCCGCAGAGATCTTAACTTTTCCACCCAAGCTTTAAATACCAAGAAAAATGGCGACTTATGATCAGAACACTGTAGTAGTGGGTTACGAAAAATAAGGGAGAAAGACACAGCACCAGTGTCCTTGACTGTATACTATTACAAGGTCTAGGCCGAAGAGATCTTAACTTTTCCACCCAAGCCTTAAATGCTTCAATATTTGACAGTATCAAAACTGTACGGCCTAAGACGAATGTTAACGCACAGTAACAGAACACTACAATTGTGGTTTACTGGCGAAAAACAAGACAGAAGGACACAGCAACAGCATCCTTGGCAATGTATTATTACAAGGTCTAGGCCGTAGAGATCTTAACTTTTCCACCCCAAGCCTTAAATACGAAGAAAAACGACGTCTTATGATCAGAACCACCTGCCACTCGCCGTAAACACTGAAACACAAGTCAAGTAGGCGCGAGCAATCTGTCCGCTTTTCTTTGATGGAAAATTACGAGCACAAAGTGTTTACATTCGGAGTTATCTGGATTCCCTAATATGGTTACGGGGAGCGCCACACACACGACGGTAGCAGTAATTCAATCAGATCTCAGCAAACCAGTTTAGTGTAAATCCGGCGGCAGATGGTTTAGAAAGCTTGTTAAGTGTCTGATGCATTCATACACCCGTGACCTATTTCGATGTTGTTTTTCATGAGGCATGGCATGTGATAGTGTTTGTAATATATCTGACTTTAGACAAGAAGGATGTGTTTTCGGTGCCATTTATATGTTAAGTTACGGTCACATGCTAAGTACAATTGCCATTACAAATTAGGATATTCTGGTGAAAGTTGTGCCTATGTCGTTCAACCACACACACACAAACGAACAAACTTTACTGTGTCCTGTGTTCTTTTCCTGCTTATCTAATCACTCTGATTCCTGCCCTTCTTTCTCCACTTGTTTCTCTCTCTCTCTCTCACACACACACACACACGCACACACACAAACACACACACAGACACACACACGCGCGCACACACAAACATACACAGACACACACACACACACACACACACGAACACACACACGAACACACACACACACAGGCTTTAATACGTTCTCTGTCCCTGTCCTGATTGTTTAACGCGATTCCTGCCCCTCTATCCCCACATGTTGCTGGAAGTTAACGTCATTCGGTCTGAGTGAATAAAGACCACAGGCAGGAACTCATTAGGTGGAACGAGGTAAGCCGATGTGACACCTGCGGCCTGTAACGTCTGATGGAGGGAGACTGAACTAGGACGGCACGTTTCAAACATCAAGCAAAACTACATCAGCTAGAGATTAATGCATTACGATGACAATGTTAGAATCTTATTACTAACACAAACATATATTGAAGGCACCGAGCGCTTCTATCATTATAAGTCTGATACAAAACATGAAAATTTCAGACTTCCAGGATCTCTTTTTTTTTCATTTTTCGTGAATTTATTAAAATAACCAAGGATATTACATAACGTAATTCAATCGGGACTGGGACAGAAATTTTGTCGAGTTGGAGGGTCGCTCATTCAATCCTTGGCTTTCTGAATATCATCTACATGGTCCTTCTGGAACATTCAAGTTCACCCCGTTTCGTGTGTCTGACCTTTTCTCTGTTAAATCTGCCTGTCAATCTTCCCCAACCCACGCGTTGTCAACCTACTCTGGAAAAACTCATGCACAAACCCACGACATCTTATGGACAAAAACTTTAAGCAAGTTCAAACAAAAGGTTTACAACAACGACATAAGAAAGGACCCACATAGATTTAAATTAAACCATCTGCAATAAAGTCTTCCCATTCCCTGTAGTTAGATTTATGTCCCTGTCGTTTTACTCTAACCATTTGCCGTGTACTTGTACCTCCCACCCTAACTCGCCTGACATTCAGAGAGAAGCGTGTCACAGCCACAGATGATGCATCGTTCATGTCCAAACGTTCGGCAGAAATTATCTGTGGCATATTACAGGCTCCAGCCACGGCGATCATTCCGTGCTTAATGGTGATATTATTCATAGAGTTGCAGGACCGAAATGCCAGACTGTCTAGTGTTGAAGATTATGTTTTCCTGTGTGTATTCACGAGGGAGCTTGTTAGAGTAGAGTAAACTTGTCAGGGGAAAGTTAACAACTCACGAAGCATTTGGGATTACAAAGCCGAAAGAATTATAGGCTTACGAAAGATCAAAAGTTTAAAGGCCTAGGATATACTTGGATACCCATAGAAGTATGACTGTACATACAAATATGTACCATAGCTATTTGTCATCCTTATAACTATCCCTTATGAGAGACGGGGGACGATATAGACTTTCTGCAACTTTCGATCAAGCGTTCTATCTGCGTAAGATGATGTCACAGAAGCGGTAGATCGTTCATTCCTTGACAAAAACTTGGAGGTATAAAATCTTTGACTTCTTGCTACTTCTGTGTGGATCTGTATCTGTATAGCCGGTATAACCGCCCTTCGGCGTAACACACCAGCTTCTGTATCTGTATAGCCAGTATAACCGCCCTTCGGCGTAACACACCAGCTACTGCATCTGTATCTGTATAGCCTGGATAACCACCCTTCGGCGTAACACACCAGCTTCGCGGGCACGCGGCGCGGCGGCAGCTAGCTATATTACATCGAACGACCTGTTTCACCTAACCCTTGAATACGTACCTCTAAACATTGTTTAAAGCTATCTAATGATATTACTTGTTGTTTTTGTTAGTACAACGCGGACTCCACTTGTCTACACATGACAAGCTTTTCCCCTCCCCACATCCTGAACTTGACATTTCACTCACAACAAGTTCAAGGTGTCCAGATGGCGATAACAGGGAGGAAGGTCAAACTTCCAAGTTCACCGTCGTGGTGACATTTTTCGACCCAACTTTCAACATAGAAACGTTTGTTCTACATAAAATCAATATGGCAACGATTGTGCTCTAGAAAGAGTGATGGGGGAGGGAGCAGCAAGAAAGCTTTTCCTAGTTCTAAAAGTATCCATGACTATGTAAATGGACATTGAAATGGTCCATACTGCTTTCTTTGCTTGGAATTAAGCACATGGGAATTCCGAAAATAGTATGGGGGGTTTGACTCGCCTCATTACTGGTAGCAATAATGCTGACGAAACAGTGCTAGGCCCGTACAACGTAATGCGTGGGAAGGACTTTAACTCTCTTGCATAAGGCTTACTTAACTTTCTTGTTCGTAGTAACGAACGTGCTGGTAGACTAATACAGTGGCTACCCACTACTGGGATCGAGACGTGGAGTAGAATGGCCTTGTACTACACTTTTGTCAATGTTTTGGCGTTCTAACTTTGTATGCTACACCTCTTCGGAGGATGATAGATGATGATGATGATTTGTCAATGTTAGAGAGAGACGCCGGTCTCGCAGGGACTGTACTAGTGTCCGCTATGAAGGATAGGGCAAACTGAAGTAACTTTATCAAGTGTACTTCACCGGATTAAAATTCGGAGGCATGATGTACTTTATGTACAACCTAAAGCTCAATCGCGGTCATTATATTTCACATTCATAGTGCAAGT